TAAACACAACAGATGATTATTCTCATTTTAATATCTACAACACCCCAAACCTCCACACCTGGCAGAGTCATGGAAACATCTGGTCTCCATTTTGCACATTTGAGACTGTTGTTATCATCTTTTAATTATATGTAAAAACAGCTTCTGTTGTAAAAGTATGTAAATTATTTCAAATGAATCAACACAAAATTAGGGATTTTTTGTGCATGTTCAGCACCATTTCTCAGCTACACTGATAAATGAGATGCTAATATATAGCATGTGAAATATAAAAGGGAGTTTATTCCTTTTGATACAAAAAGTGATGTGAAAATTCAGTGAAAAATGAAACCCACGTATTTTAAAGCAATATGTCCCGTTTGTACTCTCTGTAAGGAGAGCACTTCTGATAAGCACCTATCATATCTACCAGGAATCTCTTTCTCATTCTTTGCTTAAGATTGTCTCATTTGTAGTAGAGGAATATTTGCCATACAAGGCTAAATGCTGATGGCTTTTCTTTCCTTTACACAAGGGAAAAGAATATGTTGAATACTCAAGCTCTGTTCCCATGGTTTAAAGAAAAAAACAAGAGTGCAGTCTCTCTCTGCAGCCACCACTTGGCTTGCACTGTGAATGATCACTGGTCCTTAAAATTACGTGAGCTTTTGATAACAGCACTCATTCATACACTCTCTGTTCCCTTGGGCCCAATTCTTTGCAGGTGCCTCATTCTGTAGCTGAGGGCAATGGTAAATGATTTTTTTTTTTTTATGTGACCTCTCCGTGCTCCCCTCCTTTAAACATAGTGGCAATATGTGAGGCTTTCCAAGCCCATCAGGGCCGTGCATCATCTTTCCTCCATGAAATTACAAGCTGTGGTTAGGGCAAAGGTTTTGAGCTCTCCAAGAATGACACTGGGCCAAGAGTGATGCTGGGCCAAATGCGTCTATGGAGTTGTAATCGGTTGTATTGCAACCGCCTGGGCCCTCTGAACTAGAACCTTTAATACTTTTTACCTTCTTTTACACCTGTACAGTGACCATGAAAATCCAGTGCTCATCAATATTTACTTGGCTGGCGTATTAACTACCAGCCCAGATGGGGAGTAGTAGAGAGCCAAACCCAAGATAAGACGCGAAATCCACATGGTCTGTCTTTGTTATTTGTTCCTGCTTCAGAGTCAAGAGTAAAAATACCAGTCAAAAAGTAAACTGAAAAATTTAATTGTTTTATAAAATAAGATTATGAAATTCTATATAAAAATCCAGCTTCTTAAATATGGTACATTCACTTCCTCACAGAATATTTAAATATTCAGGTCATTACGCTATATTTTCACCGTATTTGAGTTAAAATAATTGGATAAATTAAAACATCCCTACCAAAAGATACCACAACTTATACAAATAAAACTAAGCAATAACACTTTTTTAAATACAAAATTTAAAGAAATTAATAACTCTTAGAGCATGCTACAAAATTTTGCCAGAAAAATATATGGGATCATTTTTGTTTAACTAGAAAATATACAGTGTGCTTTTCATTTCTCTTCCTAAAATTCAGTCTCATACAATTTCCATTTAACTTAATAAATATGTACAACAAAAATGTTTATTCCTCGAAGAATATAAATAGCAAATACTGTAGTAGAGCCTGGTCCAGCATTCTTTTCTCATCTAGCAACTATAGTGGGGCTTTTCAACTCTGAATGTGCAAAAATGCAGAATCAGGCTCTTAGTGTTATCAACAGGTTAATAGCTTTTACAAAAGTGATTTTATTTAAAAAAAAACTTCCAAAAACACTGCAAAAGACTTAGAGCTATTCCAGTCAGGCATTTCTATAAATAGTAAGACATAATGTAGGGCAACAACGGTCCAGTTTAATTACTGCTGGCAGTAATTAGGGAAAAATAGTCAATGGGGAACCAAAAATATCTTGAATTAGACACATCTTACTTTCACTGATTTAACTTGGTTCCCTATCATTTCTAAAAAGAGTTTCTGGTATAATCTATACATTGTAAATCTGTGAAGAAACTTAATCACCTTCTTCAGACTTTGGATGGTTCGTTTCGGAAAGTGGTATGTTTTCAAGTGCTTCAGTCCATACATTAAACCTTTAATGGTGTCTTGGTCACCATTCTTTATTCTCCACAGATTGAGAAGCTTCAGAACTTGCTCTGTAGGTTGACATAGTTTCATTGTGCGCTCGATATCTTCTTTTCCCACTTTCTTGCCTGGTAAGCTTGCCATCAGTGTGTTGAGATGTTCAAAGGTGAGGTTTGGGTGGCCAATATGCTTTAAGACACTGTTTTCACAAAGATCGATGTCTATAGAAAGCGAAAAGAAAAGAGAGGTAAGTACAATGCATTACAACTTTACCATGGCCTGCAAAAAACTTCCAAAATTCCAAGGTGAATGTTCCTTCCCAATTTTTTTTTTCTTTATTTCAAATAACTCTCTCAGCAATGGTTTTTTTTAGGCTCCAATTACGAAAAGCACTTAAGAATTTAATTAACTTTGCAAATACAAACAGCCCCAAATTACAAACAAACTTCATAGCAAGTATTTACTGCTATATGTTTGTTTCATCTATCTTGTAAAATGTTCTGTGTATGTGATAGGACTTCTAATATTTGGTTCCAGTGAATGAAAATTTTGCTCCTCTTCTTCAGAAATGTCTAGGCAAGCTTTGCTAGAACAGTCATTTGGGTTTTTGAAGTATTCTAGACACTTCACAGTCTGACATAAGCATACATACTAAAAAGGAGAGGGGAAAAAAAACATTCTGCAGCATTTTTCAAATCTATTCTGAGTGGACAAAAGGTCATTAGAATGCGGCGGTTGTTGATGGTGGCTTACATGAAAAGAGTTGGCCTGACTCTCATAAAAATCTTGGTGTTAACATTGCAGCACTATTTCACCTTTGACACCTGTCTTGGCAGATTCAGCACAAACAAAGCAGTGAATTGGCATGACAAATAGGTACCAGAAGGGAAAAAGAAGGAAAAGCCTGTCTGTGTATTCCTCACTCCCATGTGTCCCCATTCCGTGAATAGATGTCCTAGTCTGAGCTGCCAGTCTCCACTTTATAGAAAACAAATTGCACTTTCTGTTGCAGGCATCCATGTCTACCCTCAACAGCCACTGCTCAAATATAACAGTGGGAAACATTTTCCCCACTTGATCAAAATTCTTCACATGTTGTGCAGTCTCAAAAGGGGATCTTGGCTGTGACACCACACACGCTCCCAAGGGGGCTACAAGTCTGGGAAGAATTCAGTCCTCAACTGATCAGGAGAAGCTGAATTCTCTTCCTGCTTCCCCTCAACTTCACTGTGCTTGCTGCATCAATAGATGCAATAGATTTAAGCCCTGCAGGTCCACCTCAGAGCATAACACATCACCAGCAGGTATTTGATCCCAAGCAATTTTTAAAACGCCATTTAGAAGGTTGCTTTTAATATACATACTATCAAAATAAGGTACCTTGAATAATCTTCTTGACCATGTCCTGTTCTTTGTTTTGCTGCTTCCATAATTTCAAAAGCTGGAAGGTCTGCTCTTGAGAACTGTGCCTTTGTTTAATCCTTTCAATATTTTCTGTGCTAACCTTTGTCCCAGGCAAACTATCTGCTAGTATGTTCAGCCAGTTAGGTGTGAGGTGGGTAGGAACAGCAAACCTGAACAAAGCCTCCTCGCACAGGGTCACATCTGAAATGAGAAAGAGAAAAAGCATATATCAATTGTTCTGATCTCTGTTACCCTGCTTCTCTCTGGAAAAAAAAAAAAAAAGTAGCAAGGATAATAAGAAAAAAATGCTTAAAAAACAAAGAAAGAAGTGGTCTTTATTGTGCTGTCGCTCTCTATGCTTGAGTTCCATTTGGTCTGACCTCCAATAATTAAAACTCTACTATGGCCACCACTATAGCAGGCAAATGGCTAACAAGCTAGATATTTTTATCATAAATGCTGATACATTAATTTTAACTGTAATTAAAGGTGTGTTTTCAGAGCACTCTTCCTTAATATGATACATACCTATTCCACATTTTTGAGGTGCCGTATCTGTATTTTCCTGACAGACATTGTCACGAACTGCATTTCCCTTCAATGCTATTTTGAAACCCAGTGCACTACAGTTTGTGTGCTTTAGACAGGCTGCTTTGGATGAGGTTTCATTTGAGAAAAATCCTTCTGGACATCTCTTACATACAGTGTCACTCTCAGGGGTACCTGTGGAAACAGGAGAACAATGCATCCAATTACATGTAACCTCAACTGTGAAAAAAACCACAAGAATACAAAAATAAAAGAAAATATTCCTCCCAAAATTGTCATGCTTCTGCTTTTCACATTTCTGATCTGTGAAGGAATCACATTTAGAAAAAAAAACACTTCAGTTTTTAAAAACAAAAAAGATTCTTCTTTAAGAGAATGATGTTCCTGCTGGAGTAACAGAGTAAATAGTACTATTACTTACACTTGTTACCAACTTTAAAATCAGTAATTACTGATTAAATCAGTAATTTCATAAAGTAATATCTTTAAATCAGTAATTACTTGAGTCTATTCAGACATTACATGATGTCTGACTTTCATCCTTCAACTGTACAAATATTCTGCAAAATAATTAAATGGCACAAGAAACTGCTCTAAATCATACTCTGTAATATCTGCCCAGAACCTTACTCGAATGGGTTACTTTAGTTCTAGCTAAAAATATCTAACTAAATATCAACTAACGACCCTCTGAAAAGTACTTTCCCTGCTCAAATATTAAATTATACAGGAAAATAGAATTTCAGTAACATTTTTGAACTTTTTTTCTGGGCTTGAATAAAATATTATTTGAAGCAAAGAAAGTAGATTGTCCAATATAGTAAAAATATTTAATATACATACATATGTTTTGCTTGGTGTTTTACTTTTATAGGGCACAGTTTTACTTCAGAACCAAATATATGATACAACAATAGAATGACAATATGTGGTTCTATCACATTGACAAAGAGGAAGAAAATTAAAGCATGAAATCTGAAACAATGCAAACAGCCTAAACACCAGTGGCAGGAAAATAACAGCACCAATAAATGCTGTATATTCACTCTTAATTCATCTTTATTCAGCCAACATTTAAGCAAGTCCTGAAGTCTAACATCTAATCTTGCATTATTGAACATGAACTTAAGCACATGCTTAAAATTCTTTGGAAATAATTGGAAATTATATTTGAATAAGAAAATGCCTCCATCTAGTGTATTTTGGAAGTATTTACATGTGGATGCTTATTTTAATGCTAGCTTTTAAGTAAATTTTATTTATTTGGGGCATTTCCTTACAGAAAAAGAGTACAAATCTCCAGTTTTCAACCAGCTGTGAAATAAAGAGTAAGAATAAGAATAAAGAATAATACTTGCATACACCCAACCTAGCACTTCTTTCATCAGACAGCAAGTGAAAAACAAAGGAGAATTTTTTCATTGTGCATCTGAAAATCAGAGATCCTGTGTATTGCCAAACCCCCCAAATCCTCCGCGTTCCACAGCCAGCGCCCAACCCGCAGCAGCGGCGTCCGCCCTTGCGTTTTCTTGCACAATGTGCTCTGCCTGTGGCTCTGGGCTGTGCGAAACTCCAGCCAGCACCTGCACCTGAGCAGGCAGCAATTAGCTTTGCTGGGAAGGCTGAATTTTTAGCAACTTCCCCTGCTACAGACATGCCGCTGTTGTGTTCCAGCAGCGAGGCAGGGGAGGAAAGGAGAGTCCCTGCAAATGGTGCGTCGTTCTGCTCAGAGCTTCCCGTATAACCTTTGCGGCGCAAGAGGGAAATAAACCGGGTAATCCATCAGTGTTCTCGGGGTTGAGCAGAAAGTCACCTCCCAGCTTTGCCAGCTTCTTCTTCGCTGCTTATCTGGCCGCTCTTGTTCAGGGCACAAACGGCCTCAGCCCAGATGCCCTTCCGCCGCTCCCTCCAATTCGCCTGGAATCCCCCATTCTCCCCAGGGAAACGGCAGCCGCCGCCGGGGAGATAAGTGCAGCCGCGGAGCAGCGCTGCTTCCCCAGCGCATTGCTGCTAAAAACTCTGCCACGTACAGGGCCAACCGCGGCAGAAAGGAACAAAACCTTAATCTACACTCACAAAAGGGGACTCCCAAAGTAAAGTGATCTGACCAACGTAATCATGAGCAACCGGCAGTGGGGAAACAGATTTCTAATGCTTTAAGCTTTGAATGAGACACTGGACCACACCATCTCCCTGTGTGGCAGTGGAAGCATATTTTTCTACACTTAGGTTTTATTTCACCTGAATTTACATCGTTACAAAGTTCAAGGCTATCATATGGCAGAAAGCGGGAACACAGTGTGGTCCATGCTTATTAAATTCTTAGTCGATGCCTCACCTCAAAAGCTGACTATTGACACAGGGGGACGCAATTATTTTTACAATGTTTTCATTCCTTGTTTGAGGTCTGCTTGGGTTTAGCTGATTCATTTGATGGTCTTTTGGAAACCAACTTTCCAATAAATTACAGGATTCGACAATTTATCTTCTTCCAAAGTTTGTTTCATTTTGAACTGAGGGATTCAAATTTGCCTGCCACAGTTTCACTCGCATCACTTGCAGGGATGCAGCAGGCTGGTTGCTCAGGGAATTTATACTTCTTTGCTTGCTTCCCAAACCGGCTTTCTGAGAACTTTCTTTCTGTCCCCTTTTTACTTGCGGCTGAGGTACAGTGGAACCCTATTAACCCAAGCCCCTGGGTATAACTATTTAGGTTAATGAAGGTTTATAATATGGAAATGCTGCCAGTGAAAATGCTTAGCAATGGCAAGAGCATCAGGATAGTGCTTAGTTAACCAATTACCAGGGGAATAGTCAGCACCTACAGCAGCGACGTTACTCCTTACATCAAAGTTCTTCTCCAGTGAGATGTTCATAACGTGAGGAAGGACTCCCGACCTGTCATTCAGCATAGCTCTAAAATGTATAGGCCAGCCCTAGTGTTTCTCACTATATACATAATTCCTAGGGAAGCAATTCTGTAGTCTGGAGATTGGTTGCCTACGGGTTTGTGTCTGAGACGCTTTGATTTTCTGTATTCCCTTCCTCAGTGCTCTTCTCTGGGCAGTTATCAATCTCCAGTACAATAACAGTTTACAATTCTTTCAGGCTGTATTAAATACTGGAGCTAAACTGGGCCATGACATTTGCCAAATGATAAATGAGGTATTTTGTTTTGAGAGAAGAACTTATTATTGGTTTAACAATTTATGTTGTCTTAAATGAAGAATACACTCCACTGAAAAGTGCCGCTTCGCTCTGTATCCCCACCAGACATACAGCACAATGCCAGCCTGCTTGACAAAGAAACAGTTGTTTGTTTGATAATAGTAACAGTTTCCCTAAGAGTTCCTCTTAGGATGCTGATAATGAATTATTACCACATATTGCTGTGATGCTAGAGCTATATTAATACTGTTATAATTATACACTTGGTGTCAAACACGTAGTGCTCCTGGTGTTTGTCAAGATATACAGTTGCTTGAAACAGCAGATTTCAAAATGAAAAACATTATTATTTATCACACACACAAATACTACATTCCAGATAATGTTCCTTTAAAAGAGGCAATCCATCATGTTTCTCATTAGAGTGCAATTTGCTACATTTGCTACTGCCATTAAGTTATATATTATAGTAGGAGCAGGGTATTCCACTGAGAAATGTTCCTTTGGCTACAGTCCAAATGATGCAGACTAGGAACAGGTTCAATTGGCTTTACAATTTACTGTCCTGTAATTTCATCTGGATGAGCCTCTTTCCTAATCTTTTAACTGCCACGAGTCATCGACGTGCGGTAGAGCTCTAATTAAGTCTGTGCGTATTGACAAGCGGTACATACCTGGCTGTGCAACGCCAAATCCGGGAGGACACTCTGTGTGCTTTAAACAAAACTCGAGTTCCAGGTATCTGCCTTCGATGCACTCACAGACACGGTTCTGCGTGCTGGTGCACTCCTGCTTGACGTACTGCAGCTCTTTGCAAACGGCGCTGCAGTACTGGCATTCATCGTTGCTGTTCCACTCTTCGGCGTAGTACTGACCCGGGCACGGGGCACACTGCGTCGGGCTGGTGGCTGTACAGTGCTGCTTTACGTAGCTCCCAGGAGGGCACTGGTCACACAGCAGTTGACGAGATGTCCCCGGGTCGTAATGAGGATACTTGGGGAGAGAGTCGTCCTGGATGGTCCACTTAACAGAAATGTCCAAGAGCTAGCAACAGGAAAAAAAAAACACCGTTCACTTTAGTTCTGGGGAGCACCGTGGTCACAAAGAAACCTACATTTTAATGAGTTTATGAGCCTAATCATGTCGCTATCTTCAAAAAAATGTTTGCATTAGATATTTATTAAATATTAGCCAGCTTCTGGACTCTCCCATGTCTATCTTAGAATGGGAAAATTTTAGGACCTTATCCAGCAAATCTTCCCAATGTAAGTACTTCCTTGTTCTTCCAGAGATGTAGATCCTATTCTTCTCCCATTTACACTCTTTTAATATCACTGGGCAATGACCTTTTGCCACCTGGCACCAGAGAACCTGGCCTATTGGTTTCATTGGCAACACGCTCGATGCACAGCAAGGTGGGGGTTATGCACTCCTGTGTTCTTAAGTATCAAGTACTTCAGATGCAAAAGGAATGGTATCTAAGCCTACAAATCTGACCGGCGTACTGCACCATTACCACAGATACCTTTAAAGGTAATTCCTTACAATATTTCTTTTTACCAGCAACAAATGGCTAGAACAATATAGGTCATTTTTTAACGCCTTCCATTTAATCTTGCACTGAAATGCAGCAGCTCTGGGGATAAAACATGGCAGCTACATCCAGTATGAAGATGCAGCTTCAGACAGAGGTAAAGAATGCTGCAGTTCATGAAGGACTTAATCGCATGAGCTGGAAGAGGCCAGGCTAATGCTTTCATTTCCTATCTAAAAGCACAGGCTTACAGCTGTCATGAGGACCTGGTTCAGTACCGGCACATGTCATGACCACTACACTCCTTCTGCTTCCTGCACCAGTCTGCTTTGCTGGTGCGATTTGGGATCTAGCCATCTGAGATCACCTTGCCCTTCTGCAGAGACAACCTCCATATCACGTCATTTTGGTCCTGTAACTGAAAAATTGGTTCTGTGGCTCCACCAGCCTACCAAAAAAAAACCTCTTAGGTTTAGTCCCTATGTACTGCCCCGAGCCCCACGGGGTCCACGGGCAGCTCACTCTCCCCACTGAGAACCCGTCTCTGCCCCAGCGCTGCATGATCGACGCGCCACTTCTCTTCTAAAACTTGTACATTTTATAAAGATGAAGTAAACTGGCTCTGAATGAAGATTTTTTTCTATGTATCCATTCAAATTGTAGATCCAACTGACTTGTCTTTGTTGCTATTTTAATCCCAGTCAGCTAATACAGAGTTGCCAATTCAATTTCAAGAACGTATTTTCCTCTTTTCCATTGCAGATGTCCCCAAAATGTAAGTGGAATTAACTCTTTTTATTTATTCAGACTCTGTATTTCCTAACGAGGCTTCATCTAAAGGCCTCACTTCTGCCACAGCATGGCACTTCTTAAGTCATAGTCTTATTAAGGTTGGAAAGGATAATTTAATCGTTCATCTGCATTAACACTAGTCGCAGTGTTTGCAACAAGTAATATTAGGTGCCTAAATTAGGAACTCTTACCGCTTAAGAAAATATTCTTAAGTGCATTCTCCTGTTGCCTGTCTGTGAATCCACTTTTTATACAGCTGTACTTAGACAGGCTGAAGAATGAAATGCACATAGTCTGGATATTCCCCACAGCCTCTTCTAGTTACCCTTGACGAAGCCCTGCAACTTGTCCGATCTGTGATTTCTACAGGTGGAGATCCCACTTTTTCTTGTGGTCTCAATGCACAATCGCTTCCATTGTGAGAAATTCCTTATTACTCATTGAAGTTTGATGTACCACTCCATTTTTCTGAAATAACTGAATCTGTTTCATGTGATCTATTTAACAAGAGGGTGCAGCATGTTTTTTAATAGTGAATGGCTTTCCACTGATGAAAAATGCACCCACCCTTGGTAAATCTCCAGCTATTACTCTTGTAATGAGGAAGTCCTGGTAATCCCATTAATCGTTGATGCAAACAGTCAGGTTTTCTTCTATGGTTTTTATTCAGTAATAGATAATACAGCAACCCAGAGTCCAAGACTTGCATGGACACACGCATTCCCTTCACAGAACATAACAGACTGCAACACGCGGCACAGATGCTACAAAGACAAGCATCAACCCACATTTCATGCACATGTCTGTGGAAACCCAAGACAATACCCAATGCAGATGAAAATCTTGAACACTGATGAATACTTGAACAACACATGTGTGAAAATTATTAGGGACAGCAACCAGACATGCGGGCAGCATGTCCTCGTGCAGAAACGCCAGTTTTCCTTCTCTGCAATGCACAGCTCACAGCAATCCCCAAGCTGTCACTGCAGCAGAATCTGCTGCTCTGGGTCGTGCCTCTAACCTTGGTGACACGTTTTCAGGTGCTGAATGGTTAGGTGGACCATTTCATGACTGCTCAGCTGCCCTCTGCAACATGCAGGAGCAAGAACAAGATTTTCTCTATCATCTTCCTTACTCAACCATTTACATTGGAAATCATACATGAGGCAAGGGAGACGTTTTGCCACAGGGGATGATTCAGGATTAAAAATAATTGAAATTCAATAATCAGGGTATGAGAGCATGGAGTTTAGTAGGGAAAAATGTAGGCACTTGCTTCCTGAAGAACCTACAGCTATGTGAAGCAAGCCAATAAAAATTCAACACAATCTGAAAGGAATTGATTTAAAAAACTGGGCAAAAAAGTACTCTGTGTGTGTGAGACTACATGAAGTTTTGCCTTTGGAAGTACCAATAGCTATGAACTATTAATGGCAACCAGAATACTATTAATCTAAATGAGCATAACCAATAACCATAATAATAGGATTAATAAATCAGCATCACTAAAAGGACGATCGGTCTTTGCATTTGATTTTTTCTTTGTGTTTTTAAAAGAAAAGCACATCACACCTGTCTTCCCTTCTTTCCCAGAAACACACATTACGTAGCTGCAGTAATCCATCCATCAGTGGCTGAGCCATACGTATTCAGGATCCAACTCTTTTATTTAGTAAACAATTTTGACAAAAGATTTTTCAGTCAAACTAAAGCTATAAATGCAATCAATATCTCAGTATTTTACCAGAACATTTTATACATAATTTTCAACATAGAGCTAGATTACCATTACTATTACTGTTTGACTACTATGATCCTATTAGTACAGTGAGCTGTGCAACTCATTGCCATAGGACGTTGTAAACGGTTGAGTTCAAAATGTTACTTGACATAGTAATGGAGGAAAAATAATAAAGGGCTATTAAACATAAGCATCACCTTTTGATCAGGAAATCCCAAACCACAAATTGCTTGAGTCTGGAGGAGTGTTTTGGAAAAATATCACTATTTTTCTGCCTTTTTCCTCCATCTCCTCTATGCATCAGTTATCAATCCCTGCCATAGACAGCATATGGGGCTTTTTAGGGCATTTTTTCTGGATTATTTTTTTCTTAGACCCAGTACAGCCATTTGTATGTTGTTAAGTAAATTTCTAGACTCCAATTCCCCATACCACACTTCTTCATAAGACTATTGTAGGTCCCTTAATAACACTTAAGAGAATAGATCTGCAAGATTGTCTTCTATGCAGATTGAAAACACCTAGCACATGTGAGTATGCTGAATATGTTATTATTACCATACTATTATTATTGCTGAATATGCAACCTGAAAATCAGAAGTTATCCTTGAACCTACCTCAAGTGCCAAAGTAAAAGCAATCTATTTTTAGAAGTTCTGCAAAAATGTAGGAAGAATGGTGGAAGGTAATTAAATATAATTTTTACTAGTTTTACTGCAGCAACTTGACACAAACAGAATGAAAAGATTCTTCTTGTCCCCCAGTTCACAGAATAAGCTAAAGGGGAATGTCACTAAATTGTCCTTTCTCCTGGCCTAAGACACACTGAATTTGTGCTTACATTAGCAAGCTGGATCACCTGTTACAGCAGATTTGCAGAGCAAAACAGATGGTGCCAAGTATGATTCAGAGAGGGTATTTTGGACTAACTTCAGTCTGCTCTCATGGACTGAGCATGCATTAGCGGTTACAGCGCATCTGGTGCGTCTCTGGAGTCCATCTCTGGATTTACCTTCATCAATCCAGTTTACTTTTGTAAATCCACTTTGTGCACTCCAAGTCTGCTCTGATGTGCAAACTAAAATACAGTAAATAAGGATGATCAGGAGAGGCCCTTCAAAAGCATGTTCCCAAATCAAATTAAAATGGTAATTAAATGCATTTTATTCATTCCTGACATTTCTCCTCCTAAACTATGCTATGACTAACTTGGTAGCAGATTCTCAGCCACATAAAACTTATGATAGACCTGAATGCCCACACTTAAAGGTGGGCTATGTACTAAACACCTGAATCTCTGCTGTAAGAAACAGCACTATTTGAGCACATGAAAATGCCATGGTCAGAACTTACTAGTTCTGAACATTGGTCTTCCAAAAAGCTTCACAGAAAGCAGTATTTCTCCTATAATCATGCTGGCACTGGCCTGTTTTGCTTTTGCTGGAGAAGAAGGTATGTTCCAGTTTGAAAGGAGGAAGAAGCTGGAAGTCTGGCTTCAGTTTACTGGAATCAGAAGTAGGGGCAATGAGCATGTTCACCCTTTAACTCTTAAGAAACCAAAGTTGGAGTCTATCAGTGCTACACCTGTCCAAAGCAATGGATTTGTCATTCAGAAGACTGCATAAAATTCTGTGCATCCTTGTTTAGGAAAGGCTAATTCAGCCTGGAAGAGGTACAGAGAAATTTTAGAAGAAAATGGAGAGCTTCACCTCGAAGAGGATCTTGACTTGTTCAATAGCTTGGCAAATCAAAACAGTACCTATAGATTCAGATGGACAGTGAGAGAGAAGAACTTTCTCCGTTAAAGGATAATGCTGGCAAACGAAAAGGGGATTCTCTTGTCAGAGGAAGTTTGGGAACAGACTTTTACTGAGAAGCAGGTGCAAGAAACCCAAGTAGCTTAAATATAGCTCTCAATGCATTTCTGAAAGCAAATACGCCATTTGGTTTCCTGGAAGAGCTGGAGAACAGACTGAAAAGATCTAGGCAGTTTCTTTCAATTTTAAACTCTAAGAAAATCCTTTATATCCCAACACCGATGGAAGCCAATGAAACTCAACATCTTGTTCATCTCAACAAATTAACTGTTAGTCTGATTCAGAGTACACTCAATTGCAAATGGTTTTCCTAAGGGTAGTGAAATGCAAGGCTCAATTTAAAAAATCAGTCCCAAAGATTGGGGTTTTTTGTTCTATGAGTATGAAATGCTATCAGTAACAAAATAATAACAACAAAACCAAACCAAAACAAAATCTAGTATCATTAACCACATCTATCAACCTATTGGGTGAAATTCAGTTCTAGTGTCATGGGCTCAGTTCTGAAAGGACTGAAAAACTCAGTCCTCATTCATCTCCCTGGGCCAAATCCTGGGTACCTCTCCAGATGGGTGTCCCTGTATGAGGAATTGGGATAAACTGTAAATACAAGTCTAGTGTAAGTCAGTGTCATGCAAATAAATACTGAGAACTTATTCAAAATGAGTTACCCAAGGTTAAAAAGCAATTCTTTGATTGTGTGACTCAACACATTAGGCCTGAAGCTATATTTTTCCATACCATCTTTATGTCAGCATACACAATGCTAACATAAAAGGCCTGTGCAGTGCATTTATTTGAGACCTTAGAAGATGCTTTTGAAAGAGAAATAATGTGATTGTAAAATTTCATTTCAGATCTTGGGCATGAAAAAAGTACACGCCCTTTTCTTTCATCTTTAAATGTAAGGCAAAGAGCCGCTTGCTTTTTCTTGTTGAATTAAAATGAACTGGAAGACAAAGCACATAACGCAGAAATCCTTCAAGCATCATACCCTTAAATCACCGCTTTGTGAGAGAGAAGAAAGTGGCTTTTCAGCATATGAAAATATTATTATATAGCTTGGCTTTGTGGTTTTGGGTTGTAGACCAAAGGAGAATGTTTAATTTGCTGAGAAAGATAAATCTGTTTCTGTTTTGCATCCCACAACTATTCCGAAGCATATTTTCCTGCGTGATAAATAATCATTCATGGCATCTGTCAGATTGCTCCTACTGCTCGCATTGGGTTCAAAGTAAAACCTCACAACTCTCTTTCTTTGCCTTCTACACAAAGTACTTGGACAAAGCTAAGGCAGGAGGCCTTCACTTACCCTCAGCCCATAGGCAGAATGCCTCACTGAAATCACGCACAGACCCCAGAGAAATCCCAGTGGCAAAATATAGCACTGAATCATGTTAATGAGGTCCTCCTAATCAGTAGCTTGTCAAATCGAAACAGTATCTCTAGATCCAGTACATGACAATGTCATGCTGGATCAGAACCACGGCCGTCTATTGCAAATGACCATTGTAAAATATTTGTCATCTAGGGAGAAATGACTCCCATCCATCTGGGAGATACTCAGCTCTCATCCTCCTCACCTTGCTGTTTTGGGGGGCCCCATGCCATCACCAAATTTAACCTCTTTGGGCCAACAGCTATGCAGCACTGCTTACCCCGCGAGTTGCTGCAGGCTCACCAAGAGCACAGCCCAGACAAAGCACCTTTCGGCAGACCGCAGCTGGGTGTCAAGACCACAATGAAAGCTAAAATGGAGTCATTTTCGCTGGTTTGAGTTTAGCTTATAAAGCTGTTGCACCATTCTGCCAACTACTTCAATGCAATCCACCCATTTTGGACATAACGGGACCTACTTTTGTATGGAAGATGCTTTATAAAGTGGAGGCTGCTCTTTTACATAAATAACTAGTGACTCTCCTGAGCCCCTGTATTCTAAACTGAGGCTATCAACCACTGTCTTCATTTCTCTGTCAGTAAAGCAATATGTCAACAATTCAAATCTTGTAGAGACTTTGTAAGGCACCATTAGTTGTCATTCACAAAGCATTTTAGGGGTCTAAACTATTGTTTCATTTTCAGTGGTAGGAAAATGACATTCAGCTGAAGAGCAGTTTTGCATCTTATCAAAGAAGTGCTAAACTGAAAGTCTTCGTTTACATGAGTTACATTTGCCTAGAAGTTTGTGGAGGGATAAAGCAGAAAAGACTAACTAGCTACTCACCAAAAGATGTGTCTTATCCATAACTCATATTTTGGAACATTATTCACCAGAGTGACAGCAAGATTTAGAGATAACCCAACCCTGGGATGTTACCACCATGACTACAGTCTGCCTTTGCACTGAACAGAATTACTAACAACTGACCATCTAGCTAGAGAAACAGTACATCCAGTATTATGTGCAAACAGGTGTTTTTCTCCAGGAAGACTGTCAGAGTAGTAAATCTACTAGCATAAAAGTTACATACAGAAGGAACAAAATTGAAGTTTCTGTGAGATTTGAATAGTGGGTGTTATTTAAATAGTGACAATATCTTTTTAAAATTCTCCTGGTAACCTTGGAGTTTTATTTTTAACCAACATACATGCAGACAGACAGACAAAAAGTCAGACAGAAAGATAACTCCTACCCTCGCGGGCTGCAAAGCCACTGCTGCCTACACACAGCAAACCCAACAGGCCAGCCAGAAAAAGCATGTCACATGCGCCCAGACATCCAAAATAGAGAAAGGTCAAGTTTAAGGGTCAAGATAGTTACGTGACAAGTAATGAGGTCCAGCTCTGGGGAATTTCTTTCAATTCAGTCTGATTTCATAATGCTTGTCTGTTTGTAAGCAGTTTCAGCGTTCCAGCAAACAACACGTACATGCATGCACCACCACAGCAGGTCCCCTTTCTGAAACCTTACCAAAGAGGCCAAGGCTGAAAGTACATCATGTCCAAAGAGTCTTTTTTAGGTATGGTATCTCCAAAGAGTCTTTTTTAGGTATGGTGTAGCCAAACACAGACAACTTTGAACTGCTGTTGCACCTCTTACAAGTGTTCTTATAAAACAGGTACTAAAACTACTTTTCTGAGCTCTAGCACATCTGACAGGACTTAAACTTCACTGACAGTACTTAAACTTCACAATAACTTTAAATAAATTGCTTTTAAATAATAAAAAAGAAGAGTTGAATGATGAAGGTCTCTGGTATGTACTCCTGCCACTGACGTATTTCAGCTCCAAGACTCAGCTGCCGGAGGATTATGGTGAACTTCACCAAATGCTGTTACTTTATGGGAGAACATGAACAGGCACATTACATTTAATCAAAATCAAAATACCCATGTGATTATTTTATGACAGCAACAGGTAAGAAACCAACCTGATAACAGGCTGTTGCTGAAATTCCCAGATTAACTTCCTGTGCTTTCATATAGACAAAGAAGGCACAGCATCATACATGAGATGAAAAAGTTGTCCTGCGTTTCAATTTGCTTACCACGAGTCTGACGATTTTTGCTTCCCTTGTACCATTAATTACTTTGGTTTGTTTCTCAAAAAGCTCTTTCAGAAAGTTGTACAGAGAGTAATAAACATGCATTACTCATCGGATCCTGGAAATCTCGTTGCATTTATAAAAAACTTTCAAAATAATTGGATCTCAGTTCTAATGCTCTGCCACAACATTAATGCCACTGTACTCACCAAAACAACCCAGGAACAAGATACTGCGCAGGCATGCATAAGAGCCTGCTCTGAATATTATTTTTTAATGTTTTTCTTTGAATGTTTTTTTATCCAAAAGATGAATAGCCTCCAAATAGATGTTACACAGTACGCAGGTTTTAATTAATCTGACATCATATACAATTCCATATGGCTAAATGGATTAAATGACATTTTGAAAGATTTACTGCACTGCTAACATCTCTAAATTTGCATCTGGAAGTATCTTGCTAAATCACCAAGTAAACAAAAACTTATTAAAGCAGGGGCTTATACTGGATTTAATAACACAACTTTTTCTGTAATAGCTACTGACACAGCTACTAATTCATCACTTTCTTGCACATGAAGCTGAATTTTCTAAGCCAAAACAAGCACCACATGCTTGTGCTTTTTTCTGGAGTTCACAGTGGTTTTCCTGGGTAAGAAAGCCAGCCCAGTATCTGAGATACTGATCGGTGCCGCTGTAGCAACGATTACAGAGACAGGCAGGGATGGAGCTTTTGTAAATCAAAACCAAACATCCCAGCCTACAGTTTCTAAATTCATTCCTAGATACAGTGCTTTGTGTCAGCCCGGTATGATGAAGCCTTACAAAAAGAGAGAGGAAGATAGGAAAAAAGGCAAAAGAAAAGCAAATCATGCCACTACCTTAAGAATGGGATGAAAATCCCTGCTGCCTTCCTGGAGCTGGACGTGTCCATCGTGCTCCAAACCTCACCAGGAAAGCTTGGCGTGATGAAACAAAAAGGGTTTACCAAGAAAACGGAGAGAAGGCAAAAAAATCCCCAAAACCAAAAAAACCCAAACAAAACAAAAAAACCCAACAAAACAAAAAAAACCCAGAAGAAAAGCCGTATGTCTTTACAGCCTGATCTCTGAAGCTGTAATGCATCTTAAAGCCTATCTACCTCTCCGAACGGACTTACCACAAGCGTGCAGCACAGGAACTTGTTCATTGTGGTCGGTGGAAGAAACCTCAGCGAGCTGGGAAATCAGGCAGAGAGTCAGCTCCCGCTCCAGTCTCCTAGCAGCCTGCTTACATCCCCCAACATTAAAGACACGATATATATATAGTCCCGGTGTAACAGGAAGCTTTGGCTCAGCTTTGATCACTCATTCCCTACCATGACCAAACTTTTCTCTCTCTCTCGCTCTCTCTCCCCCTCTTTTTTTTTTTTAAGGAACCTGTAAAACTTGATGACTTAATGGAACCCTTTGAGTGCTCTAACCACAGGCTGGAAAATGCAGGAGGGAGTGTCAGGGGCTGGCCAGGGGAGGGTTTAATTGGGCTCTGTCTGTCTGTCTGTCCCCCCCTCCTCTCCCCTGAGCAGCTGGCTTGGAGGGGAGACGCACGCCCCGGGGAGGAGAGCGGCTCCCTCGGCACCCCAGGCTCACGGGAGACACAGTTAAAAATCACTGCTGGAGGCTGGGCCCCGGGGCCCTGCACAGCGCGGCCGCCTGCTCACAGGGCCCTCGAGCACACGCGGGGCTGCCATTTCCCAGGGAGGAAGAGGACTCCGGATCCCTGCCGGCTTCC